TGCATCGCACTGACCACTACCCGATAATCACAGTCATGGACTTTGCAACGACCCCCCCGGCCCCAGAGGTGCGATACAACTTTCGTAAAGTTGACTGGACGGCACTCCGTGATGACTTAGCTGAGCGCCTTTTGGACATTGAGCCTCCGCAGGCCCTACGTGATATTGACCATATGACAAGTAAGCTACAGGCAATTACTGACCTCATTACTTCCCTCGTCGAGAAGCATGTTCCGAAAGTGCGCCCGTCTCCCCATGCCCGACGGTGGTGGACAGACGACTTGGCAAACAAGCGTAAAGAAGTGAATCGCGTAGGTCGCCTAACGAGACAGCACCGCGGTGATCCGACTCACCCTAGCCATACTCACCTACGCACTCTCCGGAACAGCTACAAAGAGGACATTGAGAAGCAGAAGCGAAGCCACTGGCTACAATTTGTGGAGGAAATTGACCAGGATAGCATCTGGATGGCTAACAGGTACCTCGGGCATGAGAGTTTTGATGCCAGCAGGGCGAGAGTCCCCACGCTGCAAGCAGACATTGGACACGGTATCGATGACCTTTCTGAGAACAGCCAGAAGGGCAAGGCGTTCTTTGCAGGCTTTTTCATTCCCCCTCCTCCTGCACATGTCCTGAACATTGACCCTAACACTGACTACCCTGAACCCGCATTCCGTTGGCAGGCTATCACAGACTCTCAGATCGCTCGCAATATTGGACGCTTGGCTCCATTCAAAGCCCCTGGTCCAAATGGCGTTGTGAACGCTTTCTTCAAGGAAACGTGTGACCTATTGACCCCCCATTTAGGCCCGATCTTCCGAGGTACATTCACGCTCAAGCACTACCCCGAAGAGTGGAAAATCTCGAAGACAATTGTAATCCGGAAACCTGGCCGGCCGGATTATCGTGTCACAAAAGCATACCGACCCATCGCTCTTCTTGACACCCTCAGCAAAATCTTATCCGCCTGTGTTGCGGAGTCACTCGTCCATGGCGCAGAATTGAGAGACCTCTTGCCCACGACCCAGTTCGGAGGCCGCCCAGGCAGGACCACCACGGATGCACTTCACTTACTCGTCGACAGGGTCAAAACAGCATGGCGTCGTGGTAATGTCATGTCCATAATGTTTCTAGATGTCAAGTCTGCCTTTCCGAGCGTTGTCCCGGACCGACTGATACATGACATGCGCAAGAAGGGTGTCCCGAAAGAGCTAACTGACTGGACCTACAGGAAACTCACAGGGCGCACGACCACCATCACCTTTGACGACTACACCACTGACCTGTACGCAATTCCCAGTGGACTTGACCAGGGATGTCCCCTTTCGGTAATATTCCATCACTTCTATAATGCGCGCATGACTGAACTTGCTCGTCCTGACAATGGTGAGGGAACGTCCGGATTTGTTGATGACTCCACCTTCCTTGCGGAAGCCAAAACCTTCGAAGATACACATCACAAACTTGACCAAATGATGACACGCCCCGATGGCGCGTTGCACTACGCACGCGAGCACAATGTCCAATTTGAACTTACAAAGACGGCCCTTTTAGACCTGACTAGGAAACGAGAACGACCAACGGGCCACCTGACTCGAACACGCCCCATGACGCGACCCACCTCAGTCATCGCAGGACAGCCAATCACGCCCTCAGCCTCTCACAAGTACATTGGCGTCATCCTCGATCAAGAGCTGCGATTCAAAGAACATGCGGCCTACGCCCTTGGCAAAGGGCAATTCTGGGCAGCTCAGCTGCGACGGCTATCGAAACCAACACAGGGCATGCCCCTTCGCTTCTCCCGCCAACTGTACCTATCAGTCGCAGTCCCACGCATGCTCTATGCTGCCGACGTTTGGTGCGCGCCCACCCTAACGAGCACAAAGAACGGACGACGCCCATCACAGCATGTGCGGAAACTTATAGGTGTACAACGCCTGGTAACTATGCAGAGCCTTGGAGCCCTACGCTCCACAGCAACGGATCTTCTCGATGCACATGCTGACCTACTACCAATAGATCTTCTTGTAGATCGAATTGTAATGCAATCTGCGCTACGACTCGCAACCCTCCACCCGAGCAATCCCATGTGCGCAGTGGCAAAGAAGACCGCACGCCGCCTTGTAAAACGACACCGTACTGCTCTGCACCACACCTTCCGGATCTTCAGTGTCGACCCTGACCGGACAGAAACGATCAATCCAACTCGACTCAGCCCAAACTGGGAGCCACGATTCCGGGTGCACATTGCGCCCAGCGCGGAGAAGGCAGAATCATGCCGAGATGGACACAAGATCTGGACGGACGGATCTCTAATCGACGGAGGAGTTGGAGCTGCAGCAGTTCTGGAGAAGAACGATGAGCACAAGGCTGTCCTGCGGAAATACCTTGGGAGGGGCACCGAGCACATAGTGTTTGATGGCGAGAACGTCGGCCTCGCACTGGGATTGGAGCTGGTACGAAAGGAGCGCAACGTGCGCAGGGTGTCCGCTTTTGTTGACAACAAAGCCGCGCTACTAGCTACCGGCAACACTCATGCCCGACCAGGGCACCACTTAACGGACATCGTTCACAAGCAGATTGACCATCTGTTCCGATGCCACCCCCACGCACGTCTCACGTTACGATGGATTCCCAGCCATGTCGGCGTCCCGGGCAACGAAGCAGTTGATCACCAAGCGAAAATGGCAGCGCGTCAGAGGCCTGACCCCCCTAACATGACAGCGCTGCCCCGAGTACTCCGCAAATCACTGCCCATGAGCGTCGCCGCCCTGAAACAGCACAGAACGGCCAACCTCAAACGAGAAGCTCTCACCCGTTGGAAAACATCCCCTCGCTGCGACAGACTACGCCGAATCGACCCCACTCTCCCATCGAACAAATTCCTTAAACTCGCCGGCACCCTCCCCAAGCAGCAGACTAGCCTCCTCATACAGTTGCGATCTGGACACGCCCCCCTCAATAAGCACCTGTTCCGACTTGGCAAGGCCGACTCAGCGCGGTGCTCCTGCGGCACAGACGACGAGACAGTGATCCACTTCCTGCTTCGGTGCCCGAACTGGAACCGTGCGCGCGCACCGCTCCGGCGAGCCTTCCCTCCCTCGAACTTGCAACTACGCACGTTGCTCAACGACCCCGACGCTCTCACGCATCTCTTTGACTACATCAAGGCGACCGGCCGCTTCGCGGCCGGACGGAACGACCGCCTGGATCCCCACTGACTCAAAATCGAGGTATGACAGTCTTCCCGTGACGAACGACCACTCCACGCACTCCCACTACTCCTTGCACGAACACATCCCTCATCATATACTGATTATTACTGTACATTTCTTAATCTACTACCTACATACTATTACTCTTACCTCACCCTGCGCCCATGCCTTTCACTACGCCCTCACCCGGCCCCTTTGACAAGCTGAACTCGAGAGATGTCCTCACCCATCCCCCACGTCGATACACGTTAGATAGATCGCTCGCGCTCCACTTACTCCATGCTACCGGACAGCCCATCGATACTACCTCCCACGCTACGAAGTGTACTCGCAGGTATTATCCGGCATAGGGCGAAGCCCTCAAGCGGATATAAAACTGGATTTAAAAAAATAAATAAAAAAAAAACTGA